CACGCGGCCGCAGGTGCGCCGCCGCAGACCACGGCCTCAGCCGGCCCTCAGCGAGCGCTCAGGGGCCCGGGGCAGAAGGAGCCTCAGAGGAAGAGCAAGGGTAACGGGAGGAAGCCTCGGGGCCGCAGCGCGGAAGGGAACGTCCCTCTGGCCTGACTGCCCGCACCGAACAGCGGCCCGAGGCCTGCCGCTCACACGAGGGAGACCGAGCGGAGCCCCGAATCCGGACACCTGAAACCGTCAGTTTCTCTCCCTAAGTTTATCCCTGTTTGGTCTGCTAAGAAACGAGCATTTAAAAAGTAAAGGCGTCAGTGTACATTTTAGGGCAGGAAATGCATTTCCAAAGTAGTTTATAACGTTTTCCCCAGACAGGTTGAATTAAGTGTGGTAACTGATTCTAGTATTGAAGGAATAAACTAGTTGGTAATATTTCAAATGGACTCAAGGAACGTTTTTGAAAAGTAAATTTAATGATATTTCAAGATTTTGTATGTTTCTATACTTTAACATTTCTTTCCAATGACCTAATTCTAATTCAAATATTCAATTTACTTAGAACAGTCACTGAAGTTGTCTGAAGTTATCAATAAGATACTTGTCCCATCAGATACATTTTCTAAGAAATAAAGAAAACTTCTTTAAGGGAATACACAGAATATTCCTGAGGTTGTCTTTTGTTTTCAGAATATTTTTTTAAAAAAAGACTTGAGAAATGATTGAGCTACTTACATCATATCAAATCACCTGGTTGAAGGCAGAAAATTCAATCAATTCATTACTGCCATTATTCAATTAATCAATTCATTACTGTTTACCATCGTGCCGCTAAACAGGAAGCCCAGGTATTCAGCTGTGTCACTCGTAAAGCAGGGGTGTGGTCACACCACTCTTGCTCAGAAAGTGCAAGATCAGTCAGGTCACACTGCCAAGGCCTTTTGGGTCCCAACTGTCCATCAAGTGATGTTAGATTCCTTCATCTCTTCAACCTGTCACTTCCTCTTCCTAGCGTTGGCTTTAAAGTGCGGCCCCGTCATCTCCTGCCTGTGGTACATCAATCCTAGGGGGTCTGATGAGCAACAGAAGCTCAGAGAAAGCGACCAGGAAGGCAACCATGGCCACTGTCCATCCAACAGCGGTCCAGGGAGGGGAGCCCCAGTATGCAGATTTCCAGTAGTCTGGGCCCCACCAGTAAGAATGTCTCTACTCCATGGTGGGTGTGGCTCTCTTATTTTATGCCACGAAATACAATTTTTTTTTTCTTCCCTGCTCTGCCCGGGAACCACTAAGCACTCTCCAGATTCTCTGGCTTCCCAAGTAGCTTAGCCCAGTGGGAGAGGATCTGAAGGTCACATGGAGCTCAAGAAGTGTCATCTCCACAGCAATTATTTATTATGTAAATGAGTCAACCACCTACTGGCTTCAGACAGCAGCATCATGAGTCTGGGGGTGAGAGTATAGCTCAGTGGTCGCGGACATGCTTAGCAGGTGTGAGGTTCAATCCCCAGTGCCTCCATTAAAAAATAAATTAAAATTTTCCAAGGAAAATAAAGACAGATCCCTTCTAAATTTATTACCAAAAATCCATTTTCAAGGCTATACACCTACACACTATGGTAAGGTAACAATACCTTCCTTCTGGGTCTTCCTCAGCTCTAAATAGAGCTAAGCTACCTACAAGATGAAGTCAAACACCTGAGCACAGCCTTCAGGACCCTCCGAACCTGACTTCAGTCTACCTATCCAGGTTCCTCGTTCCACAGACGTCTCAGCACGAGTGGTTCATCTTCTAGTTCTGAGCACCCCTGCACTGTATCCAGTACTGGGGGGGTGGTGGGTGTGAACATCAATGGTACCCTACTATGACTGTTGTAATGAATCTTAGTCTTTCCGTTCAACAACAAATGTAGGACATGTACTTGAGAGACACATGAGTGGTCATATTTTTTGTGTGATTTTTTTGATGGCTATAAAGTATTCCATAACGAATTCCTACCATGGTTCGTTTAGCCATTTCCTTATTTAGGAACAAGTGGATTGTTTCTGATTTTTTACAAATATTGTTGCAATGAACACTCATTTATATGCCTCCTTGTGCTTTGAACATGTGAGCTTATCACTAGATTAGACACGAAGACAGGCAACTCATGATATGCCCACTTTAAACTGTAAAAGATACCAGTCAAGTGTTCCCCTGACTGGCTGCATTATGGTCCCTTATCACATGCACTGAATGAGAGTTCATGTCTCCACATTCTCATCCTCTGATATTAAGAAAGTTTAATTTTTGCCAATCTTTTTGAGTAAAAATGGTCTCTCAATGTAGTTTTAATTCACACTTTCCTAATTACTAGTGGGCTTGTGAATTTGTTGTAATTATTGGCATTTATGTTCAGACCAAGAGATATGCTGCAAATCGACCCCACCTTTTGATATGTCTTTTAGTTACGTCTTTTTGGAACAGCTTTTGTGTGGGTGTGTCTTTCTTTAAGACCTTCCATAGTTGATCATCAAATATTGCCCTACATCTTTTCCTACTGACCTGGAATACCACTTTTATCACTTACTAAATTCATGTTTCTGACTTTTTAATCTGTTCGACCCAATTGTGACAATCCTTTTCTTGTAACAATGCCATGATTTTAATCATTATAAACGTTAGTGTTTTTGATACAATAAGGAAAAACTCCCTTTTGTTTTTTCAAATTTGCTTTCTTTATTCTTAGTCTTCTATATGAATTTTAGAAGTTGATGAAGAAGTCAGAATTGCACTGAATAAATGAGCGGAGACTGAGGGCTGTGGCGTGACAGCTCTCCAGGCCAAGGCTTTCTAGCCCCTTCCTCAACTTTTTTGAATTTCATCCGTAAAGTATACCATTTCTCCATAAAATTCTTACAAGTTTTTTGTTAGATTTAGTCTCACGTAGAATCTTTTCATTTTAAAAATTATGGTTGGTGGTATATGAGTAGTTACTAATTTTGTGTTTACATTTGCCCATTTCCCTTGCTAACCAAACTTACTAGTACTGATAAGT